CTTTTCTATGTCTCCTTGAACCCCAGTCGGCCTCGGCAAAAGGCGGCTCACACTGAGCCTGGTTCAGATTCTTCTGGAGGTTTCTTCCTATTAAAAGGGAGTTTTTCCTCCCCACTGTAGCTGCATGCATGCACCACGTAAGGGATTGCTGTAGAGTGAATGGCACGATGCAGGCATGCCTAAAGTGCGTCCTGGAGGGCCACTCTGTTGCAGGTTTCAGGGGTTTCCTTGCTACAGCACAGCTGATATTCACTGATAGCTGATTAACAGGCTTTTGCAGATAAATGATTGATCAGAATCAGCTGTGCTAAAGCAGAGAAACCTCTAACACCTGCAGGACAGCGGACCTCCAGGTTCCGACTTTGGGCATGCTGATCCACTCTCTCTACCTGATCATCCAGGAGGAGAATCCTGCAAAGTCAGTGACTTAAAGCAATCTGCTGGTTTTCCTTAGATAGAAAACTTTAAACCATTAATCTGTCCGGATAATCGGACTGAAACGTCTCTTTAAAGCGACCCCTAATAACCTGTGTTATCAGATTAGATCAGATAAAACTTTATTGATCTCACAATGGAGAAATGCCCTTGTGACATCAGCTGTGATAAATAAGAAGTTGCACAAAGGAGGAAAAGATGCATGAAGTATATATAGTGGATGAGAAGGAAATAAGAACAGATTTAATTTCTTAACACCTCCCTCATTTGAAGTAACCCCCTCATTTTCATACCCGAATGGAAAAGAAAATATCTGAGGAACTGTAAACCCAGATTACAGGTGAAAACATAAATGAAATGTGGGTGAGTAAAACGCAGCCTAAGCTCCATCAGTTCAAACATGACTCAAAGTTTTTATTTTATTTTAAAATAATAGGTCTTTTTTGAACAGCAGTAATAAAGACATGCTTGGGAATGGGCATGTCTAAAAAAAATAAACTCACACAAAAAGCAGTCCAGTTTCTGCTATGTCAGATACATAAATAAAACAAATAACTGAAATAATCACTATTCATGAGAAATTATGGATAAATGAA